GGTTCTAACACGTCACTGCAGCCCAAATAGCACAAAAACGTCCTATGTAGAGGAAAAGTGTCTAAAACGATCCCTTTAAGGCGTAATTTATATAAAAAATACAAATTCTCATTATTTAAATAAAAGTAAAGTAATTTTTGTAAGTTAGTCTATCTATCTTATCATTGGCTTAAATGAAATTTAGCTACGTGATCAATTATATTTTTTATTCATATTTCTTTGAAGGCATATACGACATATAGGTAAATACGACGAACATTAAAAAGCATTTCATTTATTAAATTTTATTTAAATGAAAACAGCTTTGACGCGCTGTTTTCCTTTCATACTGACAGGGCATTGTTGTAACTGAAACCAAAAACAATAATATAGCATATTGGTTAAATGATTCCTAGGATCATTTTATCCTACTAGAGAAGGATCATATGACCTCAAACACCCAATTCATATTCAATGGTTGAATATAACCTCGACTTATTACATGCGGTAACGAAACATTAATTAACTTACTATTGAATTGTGGTTACATCCACGCAATAAGCAGTTGTCACATTAAACCGTTTACGACAAAAGTTACACAACATTGAAAAAGACCTTATCTTAAATAAATTGCAGTAATTTTAAATTTTTCTTGTGAACAATACACAAAACACTGATATTCGCATGACACTTCGAGCAACGACTAGTGACGTGCGGGGAGAACTATTGTAGAACGACATTACGATATAGCACCACTAATAACCACAGAGCAGCCAGGAATCATTTTACCCCGAGGGATCATTTTAAACACCTTTCCTCTAATAAGATGTATATGTTGAATTTTTAATAAACAATAATTCTGCATACAAAAATAATTTTAAAAATTTTCCCTCTCATTTAACAGCTCAAAGGAGTGTAACAACAACCTTGGTCAATGATATCCATAATTCAAATATCACAACCAAAAGGTGTTGGTCCGAAAACATTTGTCCGGTACTGTATGCAAACCTTGCCTTTTTCCGCACGCCGCTGGACATGCATCACTGTCCTTTTACGTGTAATGTGTGACAAGCCTGAACCAATGTCGGTCAATGGTTAATGACGTCATAAGCCTCGTACGCTGAACACGTATGTCAAAATGTACCCGTATATCTCACTCTGGTCCTTTCGGTCTCCTTCATCTTTTTTTCTCTTCGCTTTTGTTCATGTCTCCGTCGTGTTTGCGTTGTAATTCTCGTGGAACGTGCATGGTCCAGCCGAGGGGACCGTGGAAACCGCGTGGTTTCAAGACCAGGACACGAACCAGAACGCGAAGAGGTAATGGCTCGAAACGTTACCTGAAATTGAGATATGCGAGGAAAATTATTTACAACAATGGAAATTGAATAACAAGGATTTCAGTGCGTTTGAAACGCTTCCATCAACGTTATGTTCCCGATAGATGACGGACGAATAGACATGGTATTGTCCTCGACGAGAGATATAGTGTGGTGAGTTCCCATGTGACTTCTTTTTGTTCCCAAATATCGAAACCCATCACAAGGGTCGTCATCTTGGAATTCTGGAGACTACATAACTGCAGTTGTAATGTAAATAATTGCAGTTTCAGTTAACCCTCGGAAGATGGACTCGTGGAAGGCGCAGCCGGGTAATTTTTGACCCACATCGAAATATCGTGTAAACGTTTTATCAAAAGTTTTGGCCTGTGTTTTAGCGTAGGCTGAACTCCAGGTCACAAGTGACTCGTGTTCGTCATGCAAAGGTTAAATACTTCTAACACTGTTTGTAGATGTGGCTTCCGTAGCGGTTTATGGATTTCCCAGGGAAACTATCTTGAAGGGAATAATGATGATTTATGGTAACTAAGGATTAACCGATTACATCTATCTAGATGGATAAAAATATCGATTTTTTGGTTGTTATGTTTCCTAAAACATTTGAATTTGAAGAATATGTGCTGAAAATTATCAACACGATACTTGAGAGATTGATTATTTCCTTCCCACTGTTGCCATATGGCTAAGCATTCTAAATTACCAAATAAAATATTAGTATCGTATATTTTATCATATCTGTAATTATACATATAATAATTTGTTTTAGTTTTGTATAGATTGCATGACACAAATTTTTATATATGTTTTCAAAGACTTATCGGTAAAGTAAGACATTATTGTCCTTTGCTTTTTCAATTTGCTGGAATTCCAGAGTTCAGCATTGTTAGCAATGCAATAGGAACTTATAAAACTGTTACTTCTTTTAAATATTTCAAGAGCGTTCACTGTTCAATGGCAACAACAGTGGATTTTTTTACGTACAATAACTTTACAATGTCAATTATTATGCATAACTGTGAAACAAATAAAGAGGTTGCCAAATGGTAACAAATGAGAAATAGTACTAAATGCTTTCAAAATGTTGAAATATTCTAGTGAATCATTTATACTTCGTGTAATACAGACAAAAGTACAAAAACAAATATTTATTCGTAATTATTAGATAGTTTGGGAATGAAAGGGTTAATCAAGCTGCATAGCTAGAACGCAAGAAGCATAATTTTCGCGCATTGGGACCTCAGATGTACACTGTGTTATAGAATTTCCCTATTTTTATTATCTTTATAGAAAAGGGTAGTGTTTGGGTCTAATATCAGAAAAAAACAATCAAGCATCAGTGCAAAAACAGCCTTTCTAGACTCCATGACTAATAGCCAATTTTTTATTCATAATTTCATCAATTGCAATACCAAATTACAATTGAGGTGATGAGTGAAAAGGAGGCGTGAGTATGAAAAATTGGTTACAAGAAAACAGTGTTCAAAGAATAATCAGAGTAGTCAAGCTATATGTTAAAATGATCTATTCTCGTTAATTTTAAAAATATTGGAATGAAACTTTGAGGATGTATGCTTTTTTAAATTTATATCTATAAATACTCTCAATTGTAGAGTAATAAAACAAACTAACAATAAATAGCATAGGGTAACAATTCCTTCTTCAATTTTTACTTATCGTTTAACAGTAATAATTAGATTACGGATGTTTATGCAAACTCAAGCTTTTGTACATAAATTTTAGAAAACCAGACGCAAGCAAAGACTAATTTTTGTTATCAATGGTTCTACTACGTTGGACATAAATTGATACATTTACTAAATATTACTGAAGTCTCTATTTTATTCACTTCTATACATTCACTTATGCTACAAATGCATAAAATCCACAGTCTAGTAATAATAAAATCAATAAGCGTATTATATAGTAGGTTTTCGGACAGAAAAGCGTTAATACATAAATGAAGTATTTTATCATATGTACTTTTGTATTGTAATTAGAAAACTATTTCTCACAGTGTGAACATTAAAGAGATCTATGAATATTATCCGACTCACAATCAGTGGAAAACGGAATATGCACACTTTGTTTCTTGTCTTTTGCAAACTCCGCTTTCTCACTTAACAGTCGTCAAATCTTTAATTTCGCTACACGGATGATGTAACGTGTACTAATTAATTCTTCGAAAAGAAGAGCCACGACTAATCGGAATGAATAATCCAAGAAATATGTCTATGTAATCACGATCTTGGTTTATTACACTATTGCGCAATATGAAACACTGCGCTGTGATATAATACCAATTCGATGGAATTAGAAGGTTTTAATACAATATTTTCAAGAATAACAAGGACTTATGTCACGAGTAACCAAATCACGTTATTGTTTATCACATTAATATGAAAAGAAAGAAACAACTAAGTGTGCTTCTGTGACATGATAACGGTTGATTGTAACTATTAATTAGAAAGGTTTATAGAATAATTTCACAGACTATACAAACTTACGGCACAAACAATTGAATCAAATTAAAGATCGTTCATTGCTATTTATCACGTTAATTACATTAAAACAACTCGAAAAATATAACAAATCACTGTTCAGTGACATAACAGCTGCTTTTATAATTTCTGAATGAAAAATACTAAGATTTGATATAACGATTCCGTATGCAACATAGATTTATGGCAACAAATAGCTGAATCCCATTAACGCATCAATAACTATTATTTATCGCATCGATCACATCAATTATGGCAAAGGATAGAATAATATGAACGACTATAGAATGTAAAACGATGGGAAACGTGAAGGATCAATGAACAAGAAAGCACAATTTAACTTAAAATACTTAAATTTATTCTGCGGTTGGTGTCAACGTTCAACGCAATCCGTTACAGCATATGGTAACATTACAAACGTACAATCTGACACTGTATCATCGCGGGCGAAAATGTCAAGTAGTTTGCACTTTACAAACAGTTATACACAGCTACCGTGCACGATCGTCGCGAGTCCTCCGCGTGCGATCGAGACGAATTACAACGGCGAGAATAAGTGTAGGCGTGCGTACTTAAGTCTACAAGAAAAAAAAAAACTTTGTCGCGATGGATCACCGTGGGTTCAACGAACTCAAAGGACCCACCGTCACGTCAATCGTGTCCTATTTCTACTGTGTACGTAATTCGCTTTCAATGGCCGGGTCAGCGGGCTTCCATTCAGAGAACCAATCAAACATTTTTCATTCGAGCAACAAAATAACCATTCAATTCGATACACAAATCTATCCTGCATATAATACACGCGAAAAATTCGCAACATTATTCGACCTTAGACTCGATCGAATAAGATTCCATTCGTCGTTCAACAAAGCCTACAAACGAATAAACGTGAGAAATAAAAATGGCGTCGCCGCGAGAGCCACGATAACAAGCGAACGCTTCCAAAGATGGCCGCCCGGCCGGTTGATGGCGCCACATGTTCGTTCATTCATTCGGTACTAAGGGCCATTTCGACCAACTTTAATTAACCTTAACCAACGATTAAGTTAGCTACACTGCTGATCGGTTTAATCGTTGATTAAAGTTAATCAGAAATTATTCGAACCGACCATAAACTTTTCAATCTCAAAAATATTGATTCCGTTACTCTTGATGATATATTCGTTTATAAGAATTTCTCGTCCGTTTATACTGTATTTTGCGGTGGGTGCGCGGCAATATATTCCAGCGCCTTCAGAATCCCAGCCGGGATCGGCGGCGGTGTAGGAAGGTGCTCGCCCTGTGGCTGGAAGCCATTCTCGTCGGCGACGTAGCTCAAGGCTACCGGAGAACCGTCCTCGAGAGCGTAGCTGTACGATCCTTGAACGGCGATCACCGAGCTCGTCTCGTTCAGCTGCCTCGCTTGCCCGTGTTCCTCCGCTTTGATGCCGTTCCCAGTCTCGTAGCTGAACGCATACGAGCCGTCTGGGTTCGGCCCGTCGGCTGTGTACGCCAGGATGCTGACGGGCGTGGGGATCTCCGCCGGTGCTGAGGACGCGGAGACCGCGAGGAGGGCGAAGACAGCGCAAGCCTGGAATTAAATGTTGTTTCCATTAATGGTTAACGAATCGATTGACGGGTTTTTATTTATGCTGATGTATAATTCAAGGGAAAATACAGACTCCTCTCGATTATTGTCCAAGCGTTATCCCCACCATTGGGAGGGGGGCGTCAAACCTGTCAAACGCATACTTTGTTTCCCCTCTGCTATTGTTGCCGAGGCTCGGGCTTTTGGCAAAAAACGAATTTACGAGGAGCTAAAGCATTTCTCCCTATAAGATTATTGTCCTGGCACGGACCCAAGTTCGGGACGATAATCGAGACGAGTCTGTACGGTAATTATGCAGTTTAGCCACTTTTCTCAATTTTAGCTGTAAATATCTTGGAAACTGAACTCAATGGGTGCTAACATGTACAGGAAGAAGTTTAAAATATTGAGTTTTATAAAATATCCAAAACTGTCATTGAAATTGGTGTTGAGTGTATGATTCTGGATAATTTCCCACACTTTTTTATGCAAAAATATCAAATATACATTATTTTATCGACTTTCCCCGCTTGATTTTTTGCTTTAGTGATAAAATGAAGCTCTTTAGAAAAAGCGTAGTGAAATGGCGTGCACGTATAGGCAAGATTCATTGCAGTAGTAGCAGCAGATTTTTGGGAATAACTGAGGAAATACATTATTTTTTCGATCTCCACGGCCTGACTTTTCGTTTTAATGATAAAATGAAGCTATTTAAAAAAATACTGAAAATAGGTACTATTTGCCATGCACGGATGAGAACATATTCTATACGGTTTGTCCCAGAAGTTTGTGTAGTGAAATCAAGGCAGCACGATCGGTCGATAAAGATAACAATCTTTTGAAAATTACAGAATTTATAAATTAATTTCTTTACTTTGATGTGATCATAAAAGTTGCAAAAGATCTAAGAAAATGTATTGTTATAACATTTTGATCGTCGTTCGAAGAGTGTATTGACAAAAGTCATTTTGACTTGTTTGGTAGTTCTAGTGTTAAAGAGATGTACTTGTTCGCAATAATTATAGATACTCTGGAAATGGCTCTGAATATTATTCTTCGAGATGGTGGAAAGGACGACAGTCGAAACTTTTTAGTTGAATGATTTTACGTAACAATTTTGGTCCCAAAAGGTATCTTACAAATTTATTATCCACTGTATTCGTCTAATTCAGCTACATCAAATTGATTCTTGTTACCCAAATTGGAAATGTATGACAAAGAAACTAACGATTTATAAAAAATGACTGCTTTGACTTTAATTCGGAAACTTTTGGGACAAACCGTGTAAACAAGAGGGAATGAAGAGTTCTACAAAAGCAGAATGCAAATAGAAGTGAAGAAATGGAGAAGGTATAATGTAAAGAAAAAGTAAATTACGGTGATACAATCGAATTGTTGCATAAAAACTAAAGTGTGAAAGTTGATGCAAAATCAAAGTTTTAGATATTGCCATATAAAAATGAAAATGGAGCAAAATTTTGAATTCTGTATTAGAGGTTTTACTACATTAACAAACACACAAAATATTATTAAACTGTATCGAAACGTGTATTTTATTACATTTTTCAAATTCAGAGATGCTATAAATGCACAACACTAGAACTACCAAAACAGTCAAGATGAGTATATTTATTTCCTTACTTAGACTGTTTACAACATTTACTGCAATATGAAAATGACGAAGTTAGTCAATTTCTAAATTTGGTATATCGGTAATTGTAGTGTTAATTGTCACGAAACTGGGATCAACAAGCTTATAACTCGTTTATGACCGTGTAACTTGAAGTTTTCGATTATTGAAACTCTGCAGCTCAAAAAGTGACACCCATTTATTATGCATGTAACACCGAAAAGCTTAGTAATAATCGATTATCGTTAAATGAAAATGTAATGTAACGATTATATAACGTGTAGGTCGAGTATTGAAATTTTGTCAATAGAATATGTTCACCTTTAGATCGTAACATACGTTAATCGGTGTCAAACTAATTCCGAAATCGCTATAATCAAAGTACAGTTACAAAATCAAACTTCGATTTCGGGTGAAATTGAGCCAAACGGTGCACCAAGGTTAACGCTACAGCTTTATCAAACCCGACAAAATGATAAATTACATATTTACTATTTTAATTTTATCGAAATTATAATAGTTCTTTTTGGCATAACTTATGTTGGCTTTTAATTTACAACACATTTTATTTTATACTAGATTGTACTAGATTATATTATACATTCTGTACATTATTATATTATACAATTTAATTTAGTAATACCGAAAAATCCAAACGGATGTGTACGTGATACCTACACGTAACATTTGAAAGAATTTATCCTATCGAAAAGATTGATTAGTCGAACGTGCTACTTAATTACGAAGTTGCGAGGACAAGTCACGTCCACAAGATAAAGTAGATGAAGATGCTCTGCGTAACTCACCAAAGTGTTCATGATGATCAGAGTTGTTTTCTCGTTGTAAAGAGCAAGTCTAACGGGCGGGTTTATATAGCGACGCCGAAACCTTGCGAGGTGCGAGGACCTCCCTCTCATTGATAGATTTCTGGCCGAATGCTTAGACACCGGCAAACATTACGAAATTTTCAGGGGGGGTCTAATAGAGGGGCACTCGGAACAGTGACCGCCAGTGCAGAGACGCGACGTCCCGTCAATCGTACAACACCGCGTCCCCGAAAGCATCTTGAACAACGAATTCGTATTCACGTCGTAACAGTGGTTCGATATCCGAGAAACATGGCATAAACTATAATAAGGTGTAACATTTTCTACAAATTATTTTATAATCACTTGAAAATCAATGTAAAGCAATCTATTTAAAAAAAAAAATCGATAACGTTGTTACAGAACTTTCTCAGCATTTGTAACTACTATATTGGATCGTTCGGAAAATTTATAGCATTTTGAGCTCGCAGTGTCTTCGTTACCTTTGTATTGGACAAAGGAAAAGTCGTTTGATCTGGTGAACATGTGTACTATTTTTCTAGGTGTGGATTGAATGGATTTAATGTATAAGTTACTCGTCGTTTTCTTTTTCGTTTTCTGTGAGAAATACCGACGAAACGTGTCAATATGCACGAAGTCCAGTTTTCTTATGGTCTATCAAAGTTGTAAGAAAATGACACTATTTTGACAGTACAATTTTATAGCATCTTTCCAATTAACTAGACTTTGTCCTATTAGATGATTATTCCTTTAGATCGCTAGAATATCATGTGTCGAGAAAGAACGTCGAAAAGAATAGCCATCTAGGAGCAGGTTGAAAAGTTTCTTTAACCAATATAATCGAAGTTGCATATAACTGGTAGAATGAGGTTAACTGAAAAATGAAAAGAAATTGTAAAAAAGATTAGTCAATAATAATACGATGTAAACTCAAATATATAGATTATAACTCTGCCTGTAAAGAACAAAGGTAACATTGAGTCTCCGAAAAAAGTGCAGATAAAGAAAGTCTTATTTACTGAAGTTAGGCACACTTAAACATACTTCAACTCTAGTTCAACAGAGTTTTTGTGTAAAGTTCAAGGAGAATTCTGAAATTTTGTGACGACACTTACATGGGCCACTCAGTATATTCAGCCATTGATCTATAACCAAGAAACACCGATTTTCGAATATTAATTTTTTCCTTTAGTTTTCGCCACGTTTTCGTGATTTAAAAACCACTGTGCGTCATCCCGATAAATCATCGATCGCAGAAAGTTCCCACGGCCTCGTTACGTGAGTATTAATTAAAGGGTTACGGCCACCCCAAACTGGGCCGAAAAAGTATTTTCACGAATTTTTTACGAAAAATCCACGGGTTTAATATGAAAAAAAAAGGTTTTCATTGAAACGCGAGGTATTTTACGAACGTCGAAACGGAATTTTTCGTTTTCTTTTTATATTTATGAATGACGGAAGTATGGTGACGTTCCCGTTTACGTCGCAAGTTCGCGTGCTACTCTCGCGTCAGCGATTTTCACTTTCTTAGTACACTTGAATGCCAAACTATAAGTGGTTTCTCGTATTTAAAGGTGGTCTTTACTGTTTGAGTTAGGGCCTTTTTAAGATTTCGTAAATTCTCGGAATACTAGCTTCTTAAATCAAAATTTCTATGTCCTGAGGAATAATTAATAACCACCGGCGAGGAATAATTTATCTTCGCTGATTACGTTACAGTACTTGAGTATAGTTTATTTCTGTCATTCTGTAATGTCTCGTTTGTGCTGGGGCGAAAAGGACCCGATGATCTAGTTTGTAACAATTTTTACTGAACTTACAAAATGAGCTCTTTAATATAACAGTGCAGAAGGAGAAATAAAGATATTAATAACGAGTTTATTATAGTTTTGTCATAATTACGATAGTTTTTTTTTCAAATTAAGGTATTTAATTCGCGATGGATTGAAAAGGACTCGAAAAACGCTCTTAGGCACACACGTCATAATTTCACAAAATTTGAGGTTGTGTACTAACTGAGCTGTATAATATAGGATTTATGTATTTATCAGAAAAAAAAAGCATGAAAATAAATTTTGTATGTTCAAAAGACTAATGTAATTTAACCGAAGTTCAATCTTCCTGAACCAACATTTCAGGAACCTGAATTCAACATTCAATTCATATACGCAATAAACAAAACAACATACCTAAGTCCACAAAGTTTGGAGAATACATCGATTGCTCGCTTTTGATTTTCCATTTCTATTAATCTGCTTATCCAATAACTGATTTTGTATAATATAAAACGAATAGACTTATATTTCATATTTTTAGTATGCTATTACATACGAGTGATACAAACAGATTTAACTTGTGTTTTACAAAAAGAATGCAATGTACAGAAGAATATTATGCGAAGGGAAGGAAATAAACATATATATCGTAAAAATAAGGGGAATTGTTGTTCAGAATTTTAAACGGCAATATCTTGAAAGTGAAACCACGTGACATGTGGTGTTTTTCCTGGCAACCACAAAAGTGTCATTGGTAAACTACGAATGTTTATGTAGATTCATAGTTTTAAAAGTCAATGTTGAATGGAATTTTATTTTTTCTGATGATGATTGTAATAATAACAAGTAAATAGTATTGAACTTCCTGAAAATGCTAATTTCGCTACATGTTGCAAGCCAGGAAACGCTATAAATGCGTAAATATCAACGGTCTATTTAATTATTAAGAATACGTACACCGAATTTCATTAAAATCGGATGAATGGCCTTTGAGTTATTCCTGACACAAGGTTGAAAACTATAGTTTCTTTTTTATAAGAGTAAAACGTTTGTTGTTAAAACAAATTGTGCTATGGTATTTACTTTCGGTACATTATTATTAAAGGTTCAAATTATTGTTTCGTTAAAACAAACGTTTTTCATGTTTCTTAAACGTGTCAAGGTAGCGTAACCCATAAATCCTACGATGAAAACCTATTTGGACGTTCTTATTGAGAAAGCAAATAATTTTTTTAATTTATTGATTAGTCTGGTAGGATTTTTAATAGAGTTCATTAGATGCAGACTAAACTGTGGATGTTTATGGAAATATGAGTTTCGTGATTGAATTTACAGGAACCGGAGTCAAAGAAGTGTCTATTTACTTTATCAAGCGTTACGTCAGATTCCAAATTAAATAAGAACTCCATTAAACTTTCTCGAACTTCTTACTACACTGAGTTTAAAATAATCCTGTGTGCTGTAAACACATAAAATCTGCGGTTTAGTTATGATATATTACTCTTGGTTTTATAGAACTTATCAGGTCATTCCGTAAATAATTTTTCTTTGACCTCTCACAGTTGGTAAAAGAAGAGGCAGTAGTTGCTTTTTTGTAAAAGAACATTTGAAAATGATTAAGTGTTGAAGTATGTTTATAGGAAAAAGTGGCGAATTCGCCGATAATTAAAGAAGCAACTACAAGTATAAACTAAGGTCAATGTCCCTATTTCTAATCATGTAACAGCTCTGCTATTGCAGAAATTGATTTTTATTATTTATTTATGCAACAATCGACAAAAACAACTTAATAGATATAAAATTTAAACCTCCTTTTATAATTAAATTTAAATAAAATGATTTTTAAAAACATGTTAACATAATAATAGTTCATTTAATATGAAGTATAAAATGTCCCTACTTCTGCTCAGCGAAAATGGAAGTACCAAAACCAAACTTTGAAGAAACAATATTAAAGATTCCGTAAGTTTTTTTTAGTAAAAACGCAGCGTCCACGTACTTATAAGTCACGATTGCAACGGAACCGTTCAAATTTATTTCTATTAAAATGCTGCCATCTGTTGAATAACGGACTGTAGCATTTTGTACAGAAATACTAAACTAATTTAAACGATTTTTTGTATAACTAATTTATCGTTTAACTATCTACATTAAACAACAAATATACACACTGAGTAAACATCAGGACGTAATTAGAAATAGGTACATTGACCTTATGTAAGGTTAAAATTAATTATATAAACGGTATTACTAGTGGGATAATTCTCTAACTTTGTTCACCTGAAACAGTACACCTGTCTTGAATTCAGTATAGATATAATTTTATTTCTAATTTTATTTTTCAATTTAACTATTTTATCAAAAACCTACGAAGCGTTTAATCATTTCAATTAGTCACAGTTAGTCCACAGAAGTATCTGCCTATTCTAATAGGTAAATATAATATATTTTACATATTTCGTCAATGTCAAAGTTGGTATGACCAATTATAATTCATATTAATAGAAATGGTGATTAATCTACTTTGAATGAAGTATTTATTATGCGTTCAATCAGCAAGTTATATACAATTTAGTTGATGAAAATATTGCCAACACAGCCAACGACAGATAAATGCGAAAACTGACTTTCGCGAGTAAAGCATTAATTTATTGCAAAAAAGGTTACATGAAGTAAACGTTACGTTTGAGAAAGACTATGACATGTTATTCTTTTGCTACTTCCACAGACAAGACTGTTTTAAATAAACCACGTTATAATTAGACTGAGGATGTTTCTGCATTTATAACACATTCCGTAACTTGGATAATGCAACAAAGTAAAGAGTTTGATAAAATTTATTATTAGTTGTGTGTTATTACTAATATAGTGAAGCCTCTAGTACAGAATTTAAGATTCTGTCCTATTTTAGTTTTTAAATATTTGTATCTAAAATTGTGTTATGATTTTTCAATTGAATTCATCCTAATCTAAGATACATCAGTCAATGTTCATACAAATATAGATTACAATTAGTGCATCGACCATTAACATTGATCAAATATGTAAAATTCGTTATATCTACGGTGTGACTTTTGCAAGTATTATTTATTTATTTATTTATTAATACATCTTTTGTCCTTTCGGACCTCGTGGAGCTATGGTTTTACATACTTAAATCTACTTTTACTCACTAAGTAGCATCAAACATAATACTGTTATAATAATCAATATGTA